TTTTCACATTTATTCATTATCATTGTTTATTGTTAACATCTCTATGGTGACCTATCTCAGATAACGACTCGGGAGTTTAACGGAGTCTTTATCTCCAGATCTATTAACAAGCCCAAGACTTTTATTTTCAGGGTTGGACTCTTTTTACCTTCACTGTGGTTTTTCATAGAAATAACCGAGTTGGAAGGGACCTTGGAGGTCATCTAGTCCAACCCTCCTGCTCAAGCAGGAGATCCTATAGTACCCTTTCAGACAACTGGGTGCCCAGTCTCTTCTTAAACAGCCTCCAAGGTTGAAGCACCCACAACTTCTGGAGGCAACTTCTGTTCCACTAATTAATTGTTCTCACTGTCCAGAAATTTCTGTTAGTTCTAGGTTGGTTCTCTCCTTGATTAGTTTCCATCCATGGATGGCGCGACCTAGGAGAACAAATTCATCAGGACAAGATTCAGCAGTCCATCTGTATTTAAAAGACAAAGGCCCCTCTTTTTGAAGACAGCAAAGTCCACATTTTGGACATAGAGGACGTCTGGTTTGAAAAAGGGGGTCAAAAAGGCCATCTGTGTCAAAATTAGGTTAGGGTTAGGGTCAGCCCTCTCTCAACAGAGTGGGAGGGGTATATCATCCAGTCTCCTACACACCATCCTTTCAGCAGTTCCAAGAAGGCTCCACACCCATTTGCACTACTCAGACGATGCTTAGGACACAGACAAACCTCCAAGTGGCCTCAACAACTCTCTAAAAGGATGCAAATGACCAGCTGTCTGCAAGGAATATAAATCCTTCCATTCCCCTTCATCCAATCAGAGCTGAAGAAGCTTCTGGGATGAGAAGAAAAATGTCTTCAAAGAAAAAAACCAGAAATTCCAGTTGCCTCTTTAAAAAAAAAAAAAGAAAGAAAGCACCTTTGGGTTCCTTTTATGTTTCAGGTATTTCTGGAAGAAATCCTTTGGAAAACAAGGCAAGAATCCTCACCTCTTCAGGTCGGCTCAAAGCATGACCTTCTGGTCCTGTTATTCCCATTGCCAGCACCCGTTTTTGCTCCTGAAACAAAAGAGCCCAAGGTCATTCCTTGGGGGAGCGAGGGGGAGGAGCTTGAGATCCCCAAATCACAGGAAGTAGGTGGAGGCTTCCTGGGCAAATCAGAACATACCGTTTCCATTTATGAATGGAAGTTTCTCACCTGAGCTATCAAATCCCCATTTTCTGCATGCACCATGATAACAGCTCCAAGACTTTTCAGGAAGGTAAATGCTTCATAGAGCTGTGTGTAATTGACAAAGAGAAGAAGAGGAGGAGGAGAGGAGGAGGAGGAGGAGGAGGAGAACAAGAAGAGGAGAAGGAGAAGAAGATAGAGAAGAGGAGGACAAAGAAGAGGAAGAGGAGGAAGAAGTGGAAGAGGACGAGGAGGAGAGGAGGAGGAAGAGGAGGGAGAGGAGGAGGGGAAAAAGAGGAGAAAGAGAAGGAGAAGAAGAGGAGGAGGTGGAGGAGAAGAGCAGTCGGTGGAGGAGGAGGAGGAGGAGGAGGAGAAGGAAGAAGAGAAGGAGAAGGAGGAGGAGAA